GAGTTGGGCTGCTAACCGTAAAGTTGACTGTTTGAATCTAGTAGCCACTCTGTGGGAGAAGATGAGGCTTTCTGCTTCTTGAACAATTTTCAGCCTCAGAAACTCTGTACAAGGTCGTTATGAGTCAGAACTGACTCCATAGCACATAGCCACCACCACTACCATTGTGGATTTTTTACTTTAAAGTGACAGAGGAAGATGATGTAGAAGATGAACTGGAATGGAAGCAAAATGATGGTGTGAAAACACTACTGGGACTAGTTGTTAGATGCTGATGTTTTGGATTGGTAGGAGGCCATGTTGTTGTTAAAGTGCCATTGAGTTGGTTCTGACTTACAGCAGCCCTAAATAGAGTTCCCTAGGAATGGCTGGTGGGTTTGAGCCTTGTGGTTAGCAATCCAGTGCTTATCCTACAGTGCCAAAAGAGCTCATTTGTTGTTGCTGTTGTTCGAGGCTGAACCTTGTGGTTAGCAATCTGGTGTGTATCCTACAACATCACAAGGAGGTAATTTGTTGTTAGGTACCATTGAGTCCATACTGACTCATAGCGACCCTATGCACAAAAGACCAATACACTGCTTGGTCCTGTGGCATCTTCACAATTTTTGTTACACTTGATCCCACTGTTGATGCCATGGTGTAATAGGTATGGAAAATGGGAAATTTGTATAAAAGATTTGAAGAAAGAATTGATGTGCTGAGGTGTATAAGTAAGCATTTATATACCTGTGTAAATGTGTGATCCAAATTGTACTTTAAATTTGCAACCATAAAGGTCCTTTTTAAGAGCAAATCAGGGAATTTGAATGTAGTCTGAGGAACTAATTGGAACAAAATCTTGTGCTTTCCAAAGCATAGCATACCATGACTTTTTTGTGTGATGGTACTACCATCTTCACTGTGCAATATATTGCATAGACAAGTAAATATATAACTTTGATGTGCTATGCCTTATTAGTTTTGATTCTAAGTCATTAAGTGGAAAATACTTCTTGCAGTAGGGAATATCACATTTTGTTTTTATTTCCTACTCTACTATACATTCAAAATGCAAACCAAATACCACTATAAAAGATTGGAAGAATCTTTTTTGTTATTTCCAAATAAGAGTACTGAATTTTGTTTTAGTGTGATTCATTAGAAGAAAGAGATCAATTGTATTCCTATTTTATGCATCCAAGTTTAATCAGTATTAGGTTGAACTTCTCC